CAATATTCAACATTGCTGATAATCGAATACACACTTTTTTTCTTTCCTGTGCGACACTTTTATTATTTATTTACCAATTTTTGGCAATGCCAAATATGGCACTCACTTTGTGCTGGAAACATTGTGAAATGTGAGAAAAAGTGCAAAAAAACTGTCCAATTGAGCCCACCTAAGCCCGAATGGCAGTGGCGACAAAGATGTAAAAAATATATATTTTGTTCACAAATCTCACTTCAGTGAAAATGATTGGCCAAGCAGTGCACGCCAAATAACATCAGCACCAGTTTCGGACCACTTGTCACAGTTTCGTGGTCAATAGCATTTGGCTTTACTGGTTATTGCGCATAATGATTTGCCAAGTCGCTTGCTTGGACTGTTGGCAATTTTGCAGAAAGGGCATTGCGTGCGTACTTGCGGATGCAATAACAATTAATGGCGCCAATCGGCGATTGCCTAAATGCTTGGATTAGAAGTGCTTTTTGCTTTTCACTCGACGAGGCGTGACCGAATGTGGCCTGTCCAGTGAATTACCATTGCCTTCGATCACTTTACAACACTGTTTACTGCATCATCCTCATTTCCAGCACTGCAACTGCAAATGCCGAATGAGATTTGCTTTTTCAGCCTTTCCTTCCCTCTTCACTTTTGACTCACTGCAGATAAATGTTTTTATTTTTACAAAAAGTTTACTTTAATTCACCTTCGCTTAAAATGAATAATTTATTATGCATGAGGGCAAACAAAAGCAAAATTTACTGGGACAAAAAACTTAAAAGACAGCTAAAAGCTTGCATTTCCAGCAGTGTGACTTGACAGTCAACTCGACGGCACACTGCACTTTTTGACTCTGTTATTATCGCCACTTGGCAGGAGTTTTATTTTGTATTTGTTTATTCTTCGTTTTGTGTCACTTAATTTTAGCACAACTTGAAATGGGCACCGAAGGCGATAGAGTTGATTCTAGAGCTGATTCTAAATGGTTTTAAGCGGTTCCAAAAGATGCAAAAGGCTCTCACCCTCTTTTTTCCCCTCTTCCGTGCATTCTTAAGCCTTTTACACCAGTCAGCACACACACGTTATGCACAGCAAGTGTAGAGCAAACCTCCTCAGCTCACTGTGTTCTCACTGCTGATCGCCCGAATATGTCACTCAAATAAATATTTATTATGGCTGCGTGCCGCCTGTGCAGTGTTCTGTGCCAGTAGATGAGAAAAAGAAAGAAAAAAAGAAAGAGGGCCTGCTTCGTGTGAAGAGCGACAGTGTATAAGGCGATGTGACTGGTTTTAAAATGAAAATGAAAATATATTCACAACCATTTCCGTGCTGCGGCTTGGCTTGTCGTGTGCCACCCATCAGGCTAGCACGTCTTCATCCACTCTTACAGAATCATCTCCTTGCTTTCTTCATCTTTTGGTGGTAGTGGTGGTGAAACCGTTCCGTTTTGCCGTCTGTCGTGTTCATCCGCCGGCAAGGAAGTAGAGGCAAAGGGGGTTAGAAAACTGCGACTATTTGCATTGCTGAAAACGGCATTAAAATTGCATTAGAAACATTAGAATAATAACTAATTTAAGACTTTCGCTACGTTCGTCGAGCAGTTAAGTGAATTGCAGAGTGTTTTAAAGAGCTCACTTTCGCTGACAGGAGAAACCCGAGAACTGCCGCACTGGAACTGCTGTTCTCTGTCATTACGGGTCGACAACTACATCTTCGCCAGCCTCTGCTTCTGCTGCCGAGCCTCTGTAGATGCTGTAGTTGGCCGGCAACACAACCGGTTAATTAATTTGCTATTTGCAAGTGGCGACATGGTTGCCATTTGCAACCGAACACTGCACTGGCACTTCACTGCATGTTTGCTCTGAATGCTTCATTTAATTGAAAAAATTTGATCGCTAATTTGAGAGCGCAATTTGCTAAATGCCCTCGTGTCAATGTGTATGCTTTTGATTAATGCGACAGCAATCAGCTGAAGCGATTTCTTTCTTCTTTTACTGTGGTGCACAAAGATTTATCGGTGGCCATATAAGAGTTTTGCCAATGAGACCATCGAGACCTTCCAGCATGCTTAGACAGCATCCTCGGAAGCAACCTTGTGCCTAATGGCGGTAATATTAATATTTATATTGACATTGTTCCGATAGATTGCCTTTAAAGCGAAGCCAACTTATTATTAATCTATAATCTATTAGTTCAATTAAAATTACATTTATCATCGATGCTGAGGGCTATACAATGTGCGGCAGTGTTCACACCGCCGCCACCACCACCACAACTCACAACACTACTGCTACTGCTACTGGTACTTGGCGAGAGCGTCGTTGATGCAAGTTGGTAGTCAGTGCTGCTGTTGCTGCTGTTGATGGTGATGGAAGTGGAAAGACTCTTGCTTAACGAGCTCAATGCCGATAACGGAGTTGATTGCGCTCAAGTTTGCTTAAGTGCGTCAAGCATAGTTATTAATTGATGTGTCGGCCTCTCCTCACCCTCTCTCCTTCACTCTGCCTCACTCGGCAGTGGTCGTTATATTTATGGCCAATATACATGCCAATGATGACCACCACCGCCAAATGAGAGTGGACAGAGAGCAGTGGGCCAAGATATTAGGCGAGAAGGAAAACAAGTGCAACCATCGAGTGCTGCGGCTGACTGAGTTTTTCGGCAGCAGTTCCTTCTTGTGCCTTTCTTTGACTGCCTCCGTGCTGATGAAAGTGGACAGCCGTCTTTGGTCCACTGGTGCGGTCGTAGTTGCCTGCTCGCTCTCCATTCCATTCACTTTGTGCGTGCTTGTGTGTGTGCAGTAGTGACTCAACCCACTTGGCAGTTCATCAACAGCTCTGCTGTTCATAATCAAAACCAAAATTTCCATTTGTTCATTTGTTAATTCATTGTTTACGTTCAGTGCTCGGTGCTACACCATTAATAGTTGATTGCCTTTGACTGGCTTAGCCATTTAATTTTGATTAATTCAATAAATAGATTTATGTCTGACGCACAGTCATTTGCCCACTGTGTCAACCACTTTTTCTCTTTGTGTGACTTTCTTCCACTGGCCGGCAAATCGAGACAAGTCAAGTCAAGTCAAGAGCCCGCCAATTGGACGGAACAGCTAAGGGTGCCTTCAAAGCGCCTTCAGTCGCAGTCGGAACGGGACAGACTTCCAGGGAGGCAAACAAACAAGCCAGCCAGCCGCCGAACAAAGGCGCTCACCAGTGGCACTGGTGCCAATTTGTAGAGCCACAATTATCGCATACAGTTACTTGTGAGCTGCTTCGGCAATCGACTAAATGAAAGTGCCACTCTCTGTTTGTGTCTGCACTCACACAAACACACAAACTCACTTGCTGAGAGCCTGAGTCGCTGCACAATCAACAATATATTTGCAAGTCTGTTATTACTGCTTAGCTGCTGTTCACTTGCCCTCTTCCTTTTCCCCTGTCGTCTGAGTATGTCTGCGTGTGTTGCTTATTGTCACTGTCCACGCACATAAATATTTGCACAGCCATGTAGATGACAAGTGATATCACGCTCGCCCTCGTCCTCCTCCTCCTTTTCCTCCTTCTCATCCCCTGCCATCACTCTACCAAAATTTGCCATTTGTTAGCGGCTTTAATTGATAACTGCTCTTTTTACCAATTGCCATTGCTGCCATTCATGGGTAGGAATCACTGCGGTTCGTTGTGAACCCTCTATCTACATCTTTCCTTCTCTGGTCTCTAGTCCATCTTTTACTGCCTTTTTCAGATTGCACTTGGTGTGCACTCTCTGCTGCAGTGCTCATCAGCCATTCAAAACAGTAATGCTCCTGCTGGCTATTTTCCCAATCTGCCTCCATCTGTGCGAGCAAGCGACTGTGCTTCCTTCCAGAGATCGGAGCATCGTAAATGTAATTAATAGTTGCACTAATTTCATTTGTTGTTGTGCAATTTGGACGCATTAGTGACTAATAATTGGAACTAATAGGCAGTTGCAATGAAAGAACGAGCTGCTTGATGTGTACTCTCTCTCTTGAATGCAAGGACGTCAAAGTGTGTGTCTGTGTGTCTGTGTGGTTTAAATTGTTTAGTGGAGCGATAGTTTTTGACGGACAGACTTGAATGAAATGTGGGTGGGCAGAGATGAAAAGACGACGCAAAAAATGGGTCTTCAATTGGACAATATTTAAGAGGGCATGCATTAAAATAATGTTTGCCAAATCTGCCATTACCAGTTTTTCCGTTCAGCAGTGTTTGAAGAGGAATAGCAAAATTGGGAATTAGTATTTCAACGAGCATTTCAGTGTGTTTGCATTCCAGATTGCGGTTGGCTGGCACATTTGCACTTATAATGGCCAATTTTAATGCTTTCTTTTTTTCTTTTCCGTCTCTTTCTTCATCGCTTTCTTCAACCACTCATCTGCACTTTTGCATCTTTGTGTCATTTTTTTGCCCTTTTCCTTTTTTTCTATTTACCGCTCTTCTTTTCATCATCTTTTTTGGGCACTCACACTGCTTTGACTTCTTCAACAACAACTTGGCAAAATCTGGGGAAATCTTCTTTGGCCAATCTAGAATTGAACCTTCACGGTAGTTCGAAGATGCGCTACTACAAAAGTAAACTCGGTATCAATTTGATGCAATCTCTTTCGCTTTGTTTACTTTCAGCTAATCGCATTAGTAGGCGAATTAGCCATGCTTAGCGTCGCGACGACGGCCTCTGTCGACAGTGACACTCGAGACTGCTTGCAACCAGCTGCAGCAGCAACAGCAGCAGTAGTGTTTGTAGTGGTCGTAGGCAGTCACGCAAAGAGTGCGCTTTCATTTGCAGCCGTAGCAGTGCTCTCCCGTAGTAGCGGTGTGATTGATCGATACAGCAGAAGCAGCAACAACAGCAACAGCCATTTCCCAGAACCAACGCCAGCCACTAGTGTCACCTTTCTCCCTTGTTCTCAGCTCCTCAGACAATCCCTTTCCTTCCCTTTCTCTTTCACCCTCTCTCCCTCACTTACTAACTTGTCTTTGTCTCAGATTACCAAGCTTATAACGCACTGATTGGCAATCCAATTGCTCTGCCGTGCAACATCACGCCTCCCACCTTCGACGACGGCGTCTCACTGATCCTCTGGTACCGGGGCGACCTGTCCAGTCCCATCTGGACGGTGGACGCCCGAGTAGTGCCGCACCTGCAGTCGGCAAAGCACTTCTTCGACAACTCCATACTCTCGAACCGAGCGACCTTCAACATCACATATCCAGTGTCTTATCTTCGCTTCAACCCAGTGGTGGAAAGTGACACCGCTGAGTACCGCTGCAGGGTGGACTTTCGCAGAGGTCGCACAATCAACCGGGTGATGCAATTAAACGTAATCGGTGCGTACTGCTTGTACACATACCCATTTGTTACTCGAACCGAATCAAGGGTTGTAAACAATAAATAACTTTAATTTGTACAGTGCCTACAAAGAAGATATCGATCTATGACTCAAACAATAACTACATTAACGATATTGCTGGCCCCTTCAATGAGGACTCTGCTCTCAATCTCACTTGCGAGTCAGAAGGAGGTTCGTTTTGTGGAGAGGAAGCAGCAGCAATCTCTTGCTATTTGCGTGTGCCGCCTTAGTAATGAGCCTCATTTGTCACTAGGTAATCCGCTGCCGATAGTGAAGTGGTACCGCGGCGACGCCTTGCTCACTGATTCACATTCGCCCTCCAAAACCGCCGCCGTCAGCAAAAGCGTAGTCCGCAATGTGGCCAGCTTTCCGCGGCTCCTTCGAGAGCACCTAATGATGCCGCTCACTTGCGAGGCCTCCAACAACAACAATCTCACCGTGCCTGTTACCAAAACCGTTCTCATCGATCTCAACCGTAAGTGAACACTTCCACTGCTAACACTGCTAATAATAAAAAATGCCCCACAGTGAAGCCCACCGAAGTGCGAATTATCGAGCCCCTGATGAACATGACCGTCGGCCAACGGGTTGAGCTAGTGTGCCAGGCCAGCGGCTCGCGTCCACCTGCAAAGATAAACTGGTTCATGTCAGATTTGGTGAGTGGGGGACGATTTATTGTTAGCACATAATAATAATGATGATGATGACGATGCGAATTAGTAACGACAACAAGAGGACAATAACCTTGTGCGCAGAAATATATATTACTCCGGGTGGCGACTGTAGTATTCATAGTAATAAATGAGTTTACTTTTTATCTCTTCTGCAGACTGCACCTGTCAGCTGGCGCAAGAATCAGAAGCTACTGGAGCACTACAGCGAGAGCACCTCGGATGACGGCGCAGTGACCACCAATTTTCTAACTTTTGTTCCAAACAAGGAGGACAACGGTAAATTGCTGGCTTGCACTGCCTTCAATCCACAGTTCAGTGATTTCCGCATTGAAGACACTCTCCATTTGGACGTGCACTGTAATTATGTCCAGGCAGAGTTTGCCACTCTTCTCTGTCACTCTTTCTTGGCTAAACAAACTACTAAACCTTCTTCTTTTTTTGTTGATGCGCCATTGCTACTTCTCCTGCTGCTGCTGTTGTTGCCGTGTAGATGCGCCCATCCTGTCACTTCTCCTTGGAGCGAGCGCTCAGCGGCAAGAGATTCTTGAAGGAAGCAACGTGTATTTTGATTGCAACATTCAAGTAAGTTGGCAGACTATTTTTTCTACTTTCCCTACTTGCAAGCAGTATATTAGATCAGCAAAGGAAAAACGTACTCTCGGTGCCATACTTTGCCGTACTTTAATTAAATGCTCTATAAGGAATTCGCTCAACGGCACTGTTCTCTTTCTTTTTCCCCTCACTCCTTTAGTGTAACTATGCCTCTGTAACAGCAAAGTGCAAAATTTTAAAATATTATCAAGAAAAAGCATTTTTAATAGTTTTCAATATAAAACTTTTTGACACCGGTCAAAAGAAGATTGTCTAATGTACTGCTTGTCGTGATAAAAAAGATGTTCATTGAAATCAGTTCATCGCAACTGGCATGCGGACATTTCAATTTAAAGTCACTGCTCATTTTGACTCGTTTTATTTTTGTATTGTCATTAATTAGAAAACAAAAACGCATGGCATAATGGAATTTCTTGTTATTCCGCTAATTGAAGCATAAAATCCAGCGTAGGGCCGCTTTTTGCCCTTTTCTCATCAGCAAAGGGGCGAACATTTGGCCAGGCAGCAGCTCTCTGTGCTGCCTCTCCACTCGGGCTGGCTGACTGTAATTGCAAAGTGAGAAGCCAACTGGCGAGAAAAACTGAACTGCGATGAACTAAACTGTGCTGTACTGCTATTACAAAGAGAAAAAGAGCAGTGGCTTTGATGGCAGTCGATGCTTGATGCACGAGATGGTGACGAGTGACTGGAGAACTAATGAAAGAATGCTTATTGCGTCAGACCCGATCTCTGTCTGTGTGTGCATTGTGTGTACCAGCTCGCAGTAAAGTGCTGCTTCTGCTGGTGCTACCAAATGCGAGTGAGTTAATAAATTCGGCCCAGTAATTATCGCACTCGATTCGGCACACTTTCTTCCTAGTGAGCGCCCCGATGACCATTTGATTGGCAAAACAAAGGACTCCTAATAGAATAGGCCAATAATAATCAGAGCACATAGCAATAACAGTCGTGCAATTGCGCTTCACTGCCTGATTATGCTCAGTCTTGGAGAAAAGACGGACAAACCGACAAACAGTCTACGAAGAAAAGGGGAGAGTGAAAGAGACCGAGCAGCAGCAAAGAGGTCGATCAGAAGTGAACTGAAGCCCTCAAAGTGTGAAGGCAAATCACAATTGGTCGGGCAGAACCAAATGACTAAAGTGGACAGGGAAGAAAACGAGAAAAAAAGAGAATGTCGAGTGGCCAGTTAGTTCCACCACAACCTTGCCGCCATCAGCCAGTGCAAACGGGGATGCAAAAACTGCCCACACTTACGCTCTGTCTACTGGGCAAATCAACTGCCGCAGGCTCAGGCCGTTGAAGTGCTGTTTTTATTGTACATAAAGTAGGGCCAATGTAATGATGAGATTGCCCCACTCTGATAGTCTACACACAGCTTTGGCAGCTTATGAATCTTCAATCGATCTGTCGATTGATTTCAGCACAGATCGGCCATTATCATCGATGTTCAATCCACCCCAAAAAGCGGTTGCAGTGGCAGCCACAGCGGCCAACAATCCAAGTTAGTCAGTGGTCATTTCTGCTGACCAGTGCAAATTGGCCTCTTTGCTTTGTTGCTGAAACATGCACTTCACTGGTACTACCATGGTACTGCCATTAACATATTTGTCTTTGTTAGCAGTGGCTAAAATGCACGCAGTGCACCCACCGCTGCTACAGCGCAGCATTAACGGTCGCATTAAGCACAGTGCAAATCAAAATTAATTTGCCAACTTTTTTCTTCCTTTTCTCTGCTTTCTGCTTCCATTCAAACCAGGCAAATCCACAAGTTCACCAACTTGGCTGGCTATTTAACGGAAATGAACTGAAGCAAAACGAAAATGATAACATCAAGATACGGAATAACTCCATAATTATTAATAGCGTCAAGAAGGAGCACATCGGAGCTTATCAATGCTATGGAAAGAATCCGCTGGGACAAAGTGTCAGTGACGAATTTGGCTGCAGCTCAATCCGGCCAGTGCTGGCTGCTGATTCTGCGGCAATGCACCGGCCTACCGATGAGTCTGCAAACATTTGCAGCTTCATTAATGCCTTTTCTATTTCTGTTTCTTCTTTTCCCTTTTCCTCCCTTTACCGTCTGCCTTTGTTTTTCACAGACCAGCGAAGTTGTTCATCTTAATGTAAAATGTAAGCATCATCGAGCGAGCGAGTAATTATAATTGATTCGAAGCAATGGTGCAGCAGGGAGAATCAGAAAATCACTTTGACATAAATAATTCAATAACCAATCTCATTTGCCTCTCTCTCTCTTTTCTCTTTTTCTTTTTCTCTCATCGGTACACCATTCTATTTGCATGCACCAAACGAATCACACACAAACTCACATTCTGGCAGACACACCAACCTGTGCCACGGATAATGAGCTCTTCTTCGAGGCGCAGCTCTTTGAGGAGCTCACGGTGAGCTGCGCCGTGAAGGCTGAGCCCAGCGATGTGCTCTTCTTCTGGGAGTTCAACTCCACACTGCCCACTGCCGGTGACAGTGCCAATTTACGGAAGGAGCCCTTGATGGCCATCACTAATGCCGGACTTAGGAGCGAGCTTAAGTTTACCCCCAGATCACCGCAAGAGTACGGCACGCTGTACTGCTACGCACAGAACCGAATTGGCCAGCAGCGGAAGCCATGCGTTTTTCACATCACAAAGTCGGGTGAGTCGAAACGGCGGAGGTGTGACAAACAACAAAAGTGTGAAAAGTATTCACAATCACGTGGCTTAGTCATTTCAAGGCGCTAATTACTGCTCTTTTTGCCTTTTCTATTATATTCACAGAGATACCGGATGCGCCTAGCAACTGCTCACTGCTCAGCAATGTGACGACCGCCTCGCTGCTGGTGCAGTGCTCCACGGCCGAAGCACTAAAGGAGAGTAGTACGGCGATGCGGCCGAAAGAGCTCTACCACTTGGAGATATACAATGACGCGTCAAAGCTGGTGAAGAACCTGTCATCGGCGGAGGGGGTGCACTTTGAGGTGACCGATCTGCCGCCCGGTGTCAGCTTCAATCTGTTTGTCTACGCGAGCAATGCAAATGGCAGAAGCGAACAAGTTCCCCTGAACGCCAACACGCTGGTGGGCGAACCGAGGAAATTAGGTTAGTGCTTGTGATGCTAATGCGCACCTTCTGTCGAACTGACACGACTTCACTTTGAATCACTTGCAGAGCACATCGAACACAAGATGAACATAAAGCCGTTCATGGTCTTGGCGCTCTTCTTTGCCTGTTTGCTGGCATTCACGCTCATTTTCCTATTTGTTCTTCTTAAGCTTCGCAATCGCTACAAAGCCAAACGTAAGCATGAAGCATCAGCTCTCATCTGGAACTACTGTGCACACACACACACACACACAAACGCAGAGACCGAGAGACGTGAAAGTCGGAGTGTGAGTCCCTCTGTCTGTCTGTCTGCTTCTGTTTGTGTGTATGTGTGTGTGTGCATGTATGTGCCAGTGTTGTGTCGTGGCAATAAATTAAGATTTACATTTTCGATTTGCAACAGACAAAAGTAGAAAGCCTTGTACTGTGTTTGACACGGGCTCAACAACAGCCAACGGACAGGCGGCGGCGGCAGCGGCGACGGCAACTGCATTGACTACATCGGAAGCAGCGAGGTACACAGAGTTTTGAAAGAGTGTATTGCCTTCGAACCTGTTTGTGAAGTCTTGTCAAGTGTTGCGTTGACATTCACAGAGAGAATTTATCTCCATTTGCAAGCATTCGAGATATATTTAATTTAAAATTTAGCTGTTTTTACATTCTCTTCACTGTTGTTTACCTATTGACTAAGATTGCCATTTACTCGATTGTTCTCTCCCACTGCCTTCCTCCCATTCTCTCTCTTGTCTTGTACACCTCACAGCTTAAGTGCATACTCGCTTCAAATGAGGCCATGTCCTGCTACCGACAACCTGCCTGCTGACTCTGCTGAAATAATCACTCTGGCCAACTTTGCGCCGGAGACCTGCAACGGAGGCCTCGGTACGTTTTGTTTCCTTTCGTTTAGTTTAGTTAGTGTGTGTGTGTTTTCTGGAACTGCTCTGGAAGATGAGAGGACGAACTGGCGACTCTCGATTGGCGCCATTGGTGCGCTAACTGGGCCAATGTATTATTTACACGCAAGCGAAAACACTAGTGTCAGCCACACACACTGAAACACACAAAAACACACACTCACAAAGACGGGGGAAAAGTGATACTCACACCCTCCATTCACTTGCGCGAACATTACTTACATTAGGGCATGCAGTATAATTTTCTTAATACTTTGCATTACCTTAACCAGTTTTTGTTGTTGCAACTCGACTTTTCGGTGGTAGTTTCCTTTTCCCTCTCCGACTGCCTTTTCCTCCTCCTGTTCTCCTGTTCTCACTTTCACCGTGACTAACTAGCGGTGCGGAATCATATTTTTATATAAATTTATAAATGTTTAATGATGACAAGTCACAGCAAAAAGCATTTAGCTTGTGTTCGGCTATTTGGTTTTTGCAAACTGGGAGCAGGAGCTGTGTAAGCATGGCAGAGGGAAAAGTCAAAATTGGAAAGTGCAAAGTAAATGAGAACAAAGAGACCAATGAAGAGCGAATGTGTATTGTGCACATCAGCAGCAGAAGTAGAAATCAATAAGGTGTAAAGTTGGCTCTGTGTTGCAGCCTGTGTTTCATTGCAGACCACTGCTCCTTCTTTTTCTTCTTCTTTTTCTTTTTTCTTGCTTGGTGTCTGCACTAAATAAATGTCTTATTTGGTGGAGGGACAATTACGGCACAATGGAGGCACTGGAGGAAAGAGCCTTCTCTAAATCTAAGTGAGCCACGGTCTCATCAATAATTTATAAATGTTTGCTTTCGTCTGTTGCACTTGCTGCTGCTGGTGATGCTGCTTTTGCTACTCTAAGGGGGTGAACAAAATAGAAGCAGACAAAACAATACATGTTATTGATTTCAGGCAAAATTCGGCTTGTAAGCCAGCGCGCTTCAACAAGAGTCACCATGTTTGCTGATGCTTGTTAGCTGATGCGTTTATTTTTAAATTTTCACATTACATTTTTAGTCTTTTGTAGACTAATTTTTAAATTGAAACTTCACTTTCCTGCTTGACGTTTACCAGGCGACTTGAGCTGAGAAAGCTGTTTGGCTCGGTGATAGAATCAAGCAGTTCTAAAATTGGGCCGTACTCCTGGGCCCCCAGAAAGTATTGCCTTGATCAATACGTGAGCCATTGCAGTACGTGTTTCCACCGTGTGTCTGCGTGATTTTGGCCCTTTTCTGTAGCTATTCTTAGCGCGATTTTTCATTCGTTTTGTTTGCCCATTTTACACGAGCGCTAACTGCGTGGAATAATGGAATAAAAAAGAAAAGTTCAGGCAGAGAATCGCTAAATGATTGCCCGTGCGCGCAAACCGCCCCTTCTTCAATTGGGCTTGCTAGCAGAAGCGTTCATTCAAACAGGGCCACAGTTTTGTCGGTCTGCTCACGTACTTGTATAATTGTATAATTAATCACAGGCAAAACTAATGCATTCTTTTTCGCTTTTTGCCCTTTTTCCTCCTTCCCTCCCTCTCTCCCTCCCTCTTTCATTTTCACTAGGTACCCCAAATGGAGGCATCCTCAATCACTTGACATCGAGCAACGAATTGATGCCGCATCCTTATCTCGAACTGACTCACTTAGACCGAATATTGGAAGGCGGCATTATCGACCAGAAACAAGCCACCGATTACCAAACATTAGTGCATTCATCAAAGGATCATGTTGCCATTTGTCCCGAAGTAGCAAACATTTCGGGAGAGCTTATGTATCTGCATGCCGCTGTCACCGATAACAACAGCAAAGTCAATGTAATGTATTGTCGGGTGCAACTGACGTTTAATTTAGCAATGCTGGTGATTAATTAGCGCCCATTGTTTTCCAAGCTAGCCAGCCAGTCAGTTTGCACGATGTTCAATATCAACTATCAGCTATTAAACGTCAATTAATTAATATGCCATGCATGGCTAGCAGTTATTGCAGCAGCAGCAGTAGCAGTTGTAGTGGAGGCTGTGCGAGTATGTGCACTGGTGAATGCTGCAGTGCCATCACCAGCAGAGACACTGACCTATCACCAAAGAACACTCTGACCACTTGGTAACTTCTCTGACCCATTTCTTTTCTTCTTCTTCCTCCTGCAGACCACTTTCTTCTCCGACTGCCTTGTCCTTGAGAAAAGCAGCCTTCTGGAAGGCGGCGGTCTGAGCGTGGGCAGCTCTCCGCGCAGCCATGTGTCCGCCATTCCGTGCATCATCCTCAACCAGGCAGGCAGCACCGCCATGTCCAGTGTCCTCTATGGAGCGGGGGCAGAGGAGTCGCCAGTCCAGTCGGCCAGTGGCCAATCGATGCTGTACCAGGGCACCGGGCCCGCCGTCGACACGTCGTCCTCGTCGGCACTGGACGACTGTCCTCTGCCAAAGTCGGCGACCAAAGTGCGATTTAGCGAGTGATAGCCCCTAATTGATCGATTCCCTTTATCCATGAATAAGATGTGTATTGATTTTTGTAAATAGACAATTTGTAAATTTGCAACAATAATAAAAAACTTTCCCCTTCATCACTTCAATGAGACCATTTTGAATCGGAAATGGCAGTACCGCCGAATGAACTGCAAATTATGATTAACTGTACTAGAAACCCATTGTACAGCATTTCTATTGAGTAGTGGACTCATTTAGACAGATTTTGCCTTTCATTGAGGGCTAGCTTAAACGAGCAGCTCGATTAGTTGTTATTAGCTGTCTTATTATTGCGGTCCAAAGGGTACCAAATTTGTTAGCGGCAAAAAATTTCCTCTTTTTTCTTCTCTGGATGAGTTCAAAGTCGTGCTCAAGATCAAGCAGCCAGCTGAAAAACAAAGCAAACGCAAAGGAGTACGCAAAGCTATAAAGACAATTTATGAAAATACTAAAACTAGTTTGCTCTCTCATTGAGGGGGCCAGTTATTAATTTAAAAGAAAACGATGAGAAATTCCAAGAATGTAGCTGCTTCCTCGCGTGAATCTGTGTCTGTGTGTGCTAACTGTGTGTCTTTCTAACGGGTACAATTGATTGCCAACTCGTCGTAATGCACTGCACAGATATACACACACTTGAGCGACAAGGAGACAGAAATGAGCGAGAGAGAGAGAGAGAGAGAGAGAGAGAGAGAGAGAGAGAGAGAGAGAAAGAGACGAAGTGAAAAACTAGCATACACATCTACTACAGGGTACGGGGGCAGCATCAGCAGGCAGTCAGAAAACAATAGGGCCTCTTGTCATTTGGCACAGAGGAAAGAGCAGTTTAATGTTTTAATGAGCACTCGACCATTTCCTTTGCCTGCCAGTCGTCTAATGGCAGATGAGCAGTAGCAGCACCACACAGAGTCGGCAGCCAAAAAGAGTTGCTGTTTTTTGGTGGTTCCTTTGCTCCTTCTATAGTCACATCGTCTTTCCTCGGCGACACCCGGGCCAGTCATCAATTTGAAAAAGCTTTCTAATTCTATTAACATCGATTTTGACGCCTTTGCATAAGCATTCCTATAGTGCAAATCGTGAAAGTAGTGAAAGTAGTGAATAGGACAATAGATGGCCGCAAAGTGATGTGCACGGTGATAAAATAATGACCTGCCGCTATTGAAAACGGCTCAGAAAGTTGATTTGATTCCCCTCATTCAGGCGCTGTTGTTCGATTTATTTGATCCCACAATTACAGTGTTACAGTGATTATATGGTGCGCCTGCAGCACACAATGGCCCAGTGATGCCCAAAGTAATGCCTCCTCAGAACGGGTGAAGATCATAAACAAGTTCATAATGACGAGCCGTAGTCAGTGAGTGCATCATCGATGTCGTAGTAGGCGCAATGTCAGGCGCACTTTAACCGCCGAAGGCACACTGGCGACATTGTTTGTTCTCATTCCGAAGTGTGTGCCTCATCGCCGAAGAATGAACATCTTCCGCTAAAGTGCTCATTAACCTTTCTCTTTCTCTTTACTGCTCTCTTCAATCTTTGATCTTGATGATCACTCTTTTGTTGTTTGATGTGTCGTCTTTCATGCCATGCTTAGTCCCCCACCCGTTCTGCTGATGGTGGTTCAAAGGTGAAGAGGCTACTTTTTCCGACAGAGAGCTCGATCGAAGTCAACAAAGTCAGATAGTAGATTGAAAGCAGCAGAGTGAAAGTTAACGCTTGCCACAATTAAGTTTGCCTGATTAAGTCGTCTTCTTCTGTGTGCCTGTGTGTGCGAGCACAGTCTGGCACAGTGCCTCCTCGGCTGAATGTACAAAGCGCAGACAATGCGAACAGACAGCTGGCAAATAGACAAACGCGCTGACAATCGATTCGCTTTCAATTTGGTGTGCTTTGTGCCTCTGTTTGAGCCAACTTTTTCCTTCTTCCTCCCCCACCTCTTTCCTCCTTGCCGCATGTCTTTGATTGCCTTTGATATTTAAATCGCAACACAGAAAGATGTCGGCTTTGCGCACCACACACTAAATGGCTTCCCGTATTCGGCTTCCCAAACCGACCGCTGCTGCTGTTTCATCACTTTTCCGCTCTTTGGCGTCGTAAAGCACCCGAAAGCACATGCAGTCACAGAAGTCTGCTCTGTCCGATGAAATCGTGACTTCTGGCCTCGTTGCCGCCGTCGCTTAAATAATTTTACAATTGATTCGGCCAATCGATATTGTCTGTAATGCCAGAACTGGGCACACATTGGCGCTGTTGTTTCCAGTGCCTAGTCAAGCACAAGGCGAATCCATCAGCTGGAAGCTCAAAAGAACATATGGCAGCAAGACTCTCTTTCTTTCTTTCTTTTAAGGATACTGCTCTCGCCCTTCTTCCAGTGCAGGTTCACTGGCTGCCGCCGAGGGCTACTCCGAGAAGGCATTGACCAGCTTGTTTGTCTTGATTTGTCGGTATGCGGTTTTTGTAAATTGAGTTATCACGCAAACAAATAGCACCACCGAAAATGCCGTGCCGAGCAGTGTGATCTGATCTGGTCTGAGTTTGAGAGAGAGAAAGTTTTAGTGTGTTTTGACGCTCCTTTGTTTGTAAGTGATAGATGATGAAGGGAAGTGAATGGCGTCACTGCTCACTGCCAAAAACGGTCCGAGTTGTCTGCTGAACGTCAGTGCCAGTCTAATCAGCTGGGTAGGTGCATTCTCGGCTCGGCTCATCTCGAGGACCATTGGCCACCACCTTAGGTGCCCCGTCAGTGGCCGTCAGTGTGATAAAGGCGAAATTGCCACACAGGGAAAAGCAAAGACGCAAGTGCCTAGCAGTTGTTTGGAGAGAGATTGCAGGAAAAGTGCAGCTTAAGAAGCTACAGCAACAGCATCAGCAGCACCCTTATTAAATGGTCTGTAAAGATGGGGTGCAGAAGGGAGAAGAAGACGAGGAGTTCAGAGTGAAGAGGCATAAAGATGAATAGAAGGGAAGAGAAGAGCAGCGGAAGAAAGTGTTGCAGAGAGGTAATTAAATTTAGATATATTGTCGCGGTGCAGCGAGGTTTGAGCGGCAGGCAGGCAGGCAGGCTGACATCAATTCTTTCAATTCACAGCGCGAACATCGATCATGGCGATGTTCGGAGCGCAGAGGTCGTATGTAGAGAATGTGGCCAAGTCGGGCTTGCTTGAGCATTTCAGTTCACTTATCGCTAACTCAGGAGAAGGCACAAAGTAAGGCTGAGCAATTGCGTTCAAAGTGGCCAAGTTGCCCGGCAAAGAAGTCTCCAGACACTCTGCAAGAATCGCATAATCGGTCACATTACGGCTGCACTGAGAGTCGGGCTGGGCTGTACGGTGCAGTGCAGTGCTGGCACAGTGTCTGACTGTCTCGGGACAGTGACGCCGCTGCAGCAGCAGCACTGAACAGCACAGCACAGCACATCGACACGAGCGACAAGCACACTTCCGTGTGCCTACATACCAGTCATTGCAGCGTAATCAGGCTTGAAAGTGAGGTCGCTTATTTCGATTGTCTCGAAGCCATCAAGCGAGTCGTTAGTCGTCCGTCTACGGGCCAAACAACAATTAAATTAGCAAAAGCAAACAAGTTTAAATTAAATTATTACTTCTTCATGATCGACTTTGGCACAGTGACATTCTTCTCCGTGAAGACCAGATCTCGCTTCCTACCTGTATTTTAAATACAAACAAATATTCTCATTTAGTTGGAATCGTTCAGCGCAGCTTTTTTGCTCCCTTTTTCTATTTGTTTAGTGGAGCAAAAAAGTAACGTCGACTTACTTTTAAACCGATTACGCAATTTGATAAAAATAGTTACTGCCAACAGGAGAGAGATGACGGTCAGGCCACAGACAATTGCCAATGGCCACAGCTCGGAGTAAATGTCCCCCGACTCGAGTTCAGCTGTAAAGAAAAGTAGAAGCAGTGCAGTAAAGTGATAGAAAAAGAAAAAGGGCAATTAGAGGAAAGTGAACTGAAGAGCAATAATAAGTTTTAAACACCCTCACAAGCAACTTCTGCCCACATACCCGACTTCCACGGAGAGGGCTCTGTGGTGCTGCCCGTAATCTCAATCGATTTGCTTTTCCCCTTTCGGTTGGCAGAGTAGATGATCATCTTGAAGATGTAGCCGGCAGGCAGATTTTGAATGGCAAAGTAGGGCGCCTCTGCATTGCTCAGATTCTTCAAGAGCTTGTGCGGATTGAGCGAGTAGACCTGCAGGTGAAAGGACTGCTCCAGTCCTCCTGCATGGCCGGGCAGACACTCCAGTGTCAGCGAATTGGCCGTCTTGTTCACCAGTGAGCAGTTGTGCGGCTGGCTGGGCGCCTCTGTTTCACCGAAAAAGGGATAAAAAAGAAGAAAAAAGAAGACAAAGCTGTAGTTGTTTTCGTTTGTCTCGTCTCGCAACCAAGAGTGCCTCTTCAACAAATGGCAGCAAAGGCACGTACCTGCTTTTATAATCTGATATCTGCATGGAATTAGCTGTTTGCCAATGCTGTTCCTCGACCAGCACTGCACCAGTCCGTAATCCTGCTCAGAGGTGGCGACGAATTTGGCAACACTCTTCAGTCCGCTGCTGCTGAAGCTTAATGGCACTTTTGGCGAGAGGGTACTATTTGTAGTCCACTCAAAAATAATATTTTCAGACGGATTGGCGCGAACCTGGCACTCGATAGCCACCGTTTCCTCCAGAGCAACACCAATTGCTATCACTCGAGCGTGCGTACACTTGGGTGCATCTAAGAAAGGGAGAAAAAATAGAATAGGGAAAAAGGAATTGTTACAGCGAACAAAGAAAAAGCACAGCAAAGAAAGGAGGAAAATTAGCAATTAAACAGTGGGAAGGAAAAGCAAGTGAAAGAGTGCCAGCCAGCCAGCTAATCGAAGCCGCTGCTCAATTGAAAGCGTATTTCCTGTTTTCTTCACCCACCAACTTGTGAGCTCGGTTGCGCCGAGTAAGCAAATTTCGGTGCCGGGCAGCATCATTAGAAAGCAAATAATATATACTCACACTTAACATCGAGGAATACTGATTCGCTGCTTGCCGAGCCCAGACTGTTGGTGGCCAGGCACTGGTACTCGCCATAATGATCGTGATTTACATTAGTAACCAGTAGCGACGTATTTCGAATCTCAATGTCCGCCGTAGTGGCCGTCGTCGAGTCGAGCAAATGTCCATTAAGCTTCCAACCAACGAGGGTAACAGATGGATTTGCCTGTGTACAGTGAAAAAGACAGTGAGAGGAAAAAGTGCGATCCTTCGTTAGTGATTATTAAGAAACGATTCGATTCAAATTAAGCGCAATTATGCATTCCACTGTCTTTCCCGCCAAATATAAAAGGGAAAAGAAGGAAAAGAGGCGTCGGGTAATGGAAACGTCTTGCTAATTTGAAACACTGTACATCGACATGCACTGGGATGCGCTGCCGGTGGATCTGTCAGTGTTGATAGTGCAGCAGGCAGTGCACAGCAAATGGCGGAGATCAAATCGACAAGCAATCGATTGCTCTCTTCACTTTTGCTTTCTTATGTCGTACCAGCTTCTCCATTTCCCATCTCCTCTACGGTTCCCCGTCTCCCACTCGCTTCGACGGGCTTTATTTACTCAGCAGAGACATGCGGCGGGCGCACGTCGAGTGTAATTTACAACGGGTGACCACTTCACTTTGCTCACCTTAATGTTGCACTCAAAGTAGACGTTGCTCCCCTCGATAATGTCTTGTGAGTGAGAATTAGAGCCCATAATGAGCGACAGAATTGGCAGGTCTGCAAGTAAGTAATTAGGTAAAGTGCCATTTTGTAAAAGTCACCACCACCACCACTGTCATTTGTACAATGGTGCCCTCGGCTGGTGCTGCAGCTGCTGCTGCCGTCCAGCATGTCCAGTGCACCCACTTACAGTAGATGTTGATGGGCCATGTATCTTGTATGGAGAAATTGGCGACAATGCTGGGATTGAAGCAACTGCACACTATCAGCTTGCCGTTGTCCTCAATGGAAGGTGCCAGCGAGAGAAAGCTGGTGGTGGTGAGGCCGTCCTCGGAAACGGTCTCCGAGAAGGGCTCAATCACGTCGCTCCCTTTGACCTTTCCCTGCACCGTCCAGCGGATGGAGCTGGATTTGGAGCCCGTGCACTGACAGGCAAGCTCGATGGCACTCTGACTGCTGGTGATGTTCTGCAACGGCGTGATGATGCGAATTTCTCGGGGTTTCACTAAGCGTGTAAGGGGGAAAAGGAAGAGGAGGAAGAGGAGGAGGAAAAGAGAATAACGGCAATGTAATTAGCTGAGCAAACATGGCCGAGCACAGAAGGCGCCCAAGTGGCCCAAGTGGTCTGTGCTGGTGTGTGCTGGCACTACGGCGGTGGCCACATACGGTGTAGATCAAGAGTGATGCTCTGCGACACGGCCACTGTCAGATTGGTGTTGTAGGCTTGACATGTCAGTGTCATCAGGAGATCGTCTCGCGTCAGATTTGCCAGCGTCAAGACATTACGCGAAATGGAGTTATTCACCACAAAATAATCAGTGTCGATCAGATGCGAGCCCTTCCACCAGTGCACCGCCGGCAGAGGATTTCCTAAGAAAAAGAAGAGGAAAAGGAGAATCGAGTTAGTCCTCACTACTGCGCCGCCAACTTTGCAGCCTTCTCCAGCAGCAGCAGGGGGTCCGGGGGTTTGCATTTCCTCTCCGTTCACTGGTGCACTGATTCGCACTAATTTACCTTCATTCGCGTCGCATATTAAGCTGACGCTGGAGTCCTCGTCGAATGGGCCGGCCACTTTGCCGACTGGCTGTAAGTTCTTGTCAAGGATCACAACACTGGTTGTAGGCACTGTGGTTGTTGCCATTCCGCAAAGACAAAAGGGAGAAAAGAAAGAAGAAGAAGATTTAGTAGAAAGAAATAAAATAGATGGCCAAATGTGAAAGTGCATTGGAAAGTAGTGAAAAAAAGCTGAAATGGTGACGCCTGAGACGGTTGCCGCTGTTGTCGCTGGTTGTTTGCTTAATGAAGGCATTGAATTCATTAGCCACTTGAGTCACGTAGTGCATTTAATCTCAATTTTTAAATAAAAAACCTGATTCGTCTTGTCCGCGTGCACCAAGGCGCCAATTTAATTTGCCGCTCTAATGTATTTAAGTAAATACCGACTACATGATTTGTAACTCAATTTATATCCTGCCTGAGCCAGTCACACACACACACATAAAGACAAGTAAAAACAAAAAACTGACAATGCTAATCTTCAGTCATTAGCCTAATTTGGACACCATAAGCACATAATTATTTTAAACTTGTTTGTCTTTCGCTAAACTCGTCCGTCCAAGCAGTTGAACGGCTTCACTGGTTCTGCCGTAGAAGTGGCAGCGATGGCTGTCTTTGGCAGTCAAATTGGCTCGTCAAGCACTGCTTCTCCTTGCTGGCCTGCATCTCCCACTTCCAAACAACTGCAGCCAATCGACTGACTGCCTACAAGTTGGCTTATATTGACTTGCAGTGAAGCCTCTAAATCGTCGCATTGCCAGTCGCTGTTTATCGAGTGCTGTTGTGAAAAAACTTTCTTACTACTTGTACTACTACTGTGGCAATAAATTACTGTCTGTCATTCAGCAAAATGGATGCATTACTTATGACGGAAGCAGACACTGCGAACTGTGCACAGAGCTAGCGACAGAGCTAGCCGGCAGATAAGCAAACTAATGCAGCAATGACATGCGAAAGCGACACAAACAAATTGCAAATTGAGTGGCTCCCTCTCTTCTTTCCCACCACCCCCTCAAGACTTGTGTGCAGTTCAGCCAAGTTACATAAGAGGCAGGAGAAGGAAAGTGAGAAGGGAGAAGAAGAAGGCAATCGATAACTCCATGCACTCACCGATCACTGTGAGCTTGAGAATGCGATTCACGGTGCGGGCGCGGCGAAAGTCAACCCGACAGCGATAATCTCCGCCGTCGCTTGACTTGACAGGCTTGATGCGCAGAAAGGAAAGTGGATAGCTAAGATTAAAGGAAGCTCGTTTCTCGAAGATGTCCCTGTGCAGAAAGTGCTGTGCGCTCTCCAGCGAGGCCGACGATCGCGCGTCCACGGTGTAGATCGGGCTGGCAATGTCGTCCCGGTACCAGAGCACCAGCGACACGCCGTCGTCGAAGGAAGGCGCTGTGATGTTGCACGGCAGGGCAATTTCCCCGTCCAGCACCGCATTGTACGTCGTGTTGTCTGCCAGAAAGAAGAAACAAAAAGAGAAAGAGTAAAATAAAACAGTGGTGGTAAAAGGGCGAAAAAAGAGAGAAAAGTAAAACATAAAGTAGAAAGATAAAGTTAGCACTGCTAAGAAACTGTGTGAGGCTGATTGTCTCCGATTGCCAGTGCATTTACTAGCTCGCTTTTTACTACTACTACTAGCTCGACGACGGAGAATCGACACAATCCAGTAGAGTGGGTAAGCCAAGACGACCACCATTCTGGCAGTTGACTGCCTGCTAGGGATCATGCAAGCAAGGACTGATGCTGGTGCTGCTGCTGTTGTTGCACTTCCCCAAAATGTTAGCAGGAAAGTGTTAGTAAGTGTAGTGAAGGGAGCAGAGTGCAGCGAGCACTACCAGAAAATCCACTGCGGCACAGTGCACGTCTCGCCCGTTTTGTCGGCGTGTTCAGGCTGCCAGCAATGTCCGTCATCTCTCGCTCTAATTGCCCCTCTAAAGTGTTAAAGTGCCATTAGCTGGCAAATTGCTGACTGTTGTAAATTAATTTGCCAACTGTCTGCCGCTGTGTCAAGTGCTCCAAAGTGTCTCTGTCCCACTGTGTGTGTGTGTGTCTGGTGTTGGCAAACTACTGGAACACAATCACAAACACACATTGAGACAATCGGGGTTCAACATTATTTCACATCAAATGCCACTGATTGATATCAAACTGATAAAGGGTAAAATGTGTGCCCCAGTGATGACTGTAGATTGATAATTTTTAAATTGTTAAATTAAATATTGACAGAAAACTAAGCTAGAGGGTAGCCGAGGAAGAGAAAGAGAGAAATCAGTGAGAAGCTGTAAAAGTGCCTAATGGGAGTGAACGGGCGTAATGAGGTGCAATCAGAAGAATGGCTCGAATGGAGTGGCGAGAATTGGCAGTCAGCTCTACAATAGATTGTTTTCAGTCGGGCACGAAGCCAAGGCTTATATAAGCCGCGCTAATATATCAAAATTAAGCTAATGTTCGTGTGTCTGTGTCTGTTTCTCTCTGTGTGTATGTTGCACTGGTTTTGTTGGCCATTGCCATTGCCAGTGTGTGTGTGAAGGAGTGTGAGAATGAGGCACTGGTGTTATTATTTCGATTATGGGCCGATGGTGCCCTAGCGATAGTGCTGATTGGGCGAGTGCAGCCTCTCTCAGCCCTCATTCGGTGTCATTCGATCAATTGGCGAAGAATGGTGCTGATGCTGCTGTTGCTGCTGCTGATGGTGGCGCAAGGGCGCCTAATGGCGTCATCGATATCTCTCCTCGCCGTGTCTCGATCACTGCAATCACATTCATTTGCAGACTGCCTAGCAAGCTAATCTCTTCTTTATTGCGTTCATTATTTAAACTTGAAATATTATTTCATTCACTGCTTCTTAAGCTAGCACCACTACCATTTCGGCTACTTTCTTCTGCTACCGCTGTTGCTAGCACTGCTGCGCCTCGGAAATGAGAGAAAGTATCAAGAGAACGCCTGGTGGTGGCCGATCTCTAATTCGTATCGCCACTTCAAGCAGGGGCAATTTGCAGTAAATGCCGATTTGTTTGCCTCGCTCTCGAATTACAAACAAGCGGTTCTAAAGACAACACACTTGACATGGTATACTGTAGCAGCAGAGAAACTAAGAAACCATGCTGAAAATCGTTCAATTTCCAGCACTGATTTCACTGATTTTCAAAAGCGGAAAAACTCGAAATCAAAGCAGTGCAGTGTCTGGTCGACAATTGTCACACTTTGCCCGCTGCCTAAAGATGAGATTCATTTGCAAACTTCGTCTTCTGCACTTAAATCAGATTTAATCAGCCTAATAAATCAGCCAATTTGCCGGCTCACCCCGATCTTCTGTGATTCGGAGAACACACACACACAGCTCGCACAACACTTGCCCTAACTTGATTATATTGTGCAGAGAGTAATGAGCAAACAGAGAGCGAGAGAAAGAGACTATGGCACTACCGGACGGACGATTTGCCGTGGACAAACGATGCAGCCACCGTCTTTTCACTGGCCAACTTTAACAAAGTTTTCCAATTAAAATAATTAAAAGCAAATATCACACACAGGGCTTGAATAGTTAATGCTAATTATGGCGACTTTAATTGGATGCAATCCAAACAAGGGGAACATCACTTCACTGACACCGGCGGTGCAGACACCATCACCACCACCACCGTTGCCGCCGACAGAAGGGCACTACAAGCAAACAGCAAAGAAAGGAAAGTGCCATCGCAGGAAGAAGAAAAGTGCAGAGAGGGTACACACAACAAAAAAATATGTGTGCCTCGGCACGGTTGGTTGGCAGTAACGCACGGCTGTGCACCAATTTGTTCGTCTGTTTTTCACTCTAAAGCCTTCCCTTCCTCCTTCTTCTTTTCATCAACCTTCCCGGCACATTCTTTTCATCAAAGGTATTTTTACCACGACCACCACAGCAGCAGCCGACAAAAAGAAGAAGAAGAAAGCACGGACTTTTGAATGCAAAACAGGTGAGATAAACTATCGGCTTGTCAGGCTTGTCATTACTCATTCGATAAGGCGTATCGAAACGAGCCACAATCGGCTCCAACCTTCCCTCTCGCCACTCGGGCCAGTGCACACTTTCAGACTGGAATGTCTGTGTCTGTGCCCAGTGCTTCATCATGGCCGCAGTGGCTCACTTGAGCTGAAATCTTTTCTCTGAAAGCAGTGTAGAACCACTGAGAAAGAACACCCACTGACAAGAAAGCTAGTAGCATCGTCCTAGTGGTGGAGGAAGCTGAGGATGCATTCTCGCTGGGTCAACAATAAAAAGCCTGTGGAAGCGGTGGTGGCAGTGCTCGGTGGCGTGACTAGCTGCCAAGTGAGTGAATAGAAGCAAAGCAGAGCAGCAAACAGGCAGAATGCAGCCAGAATAGATTGCCCTGCTCGCCGGCGCCACATTGCACTGCACTCTGCCTTCTTCTTTGTGTGCTACCTTAGTGGCCGCTCTGACAGTGGCAAGTTGGTAAGGTGTCACGATTAGTAGTAAAGTAACAAAGACAGCAGGCAGGCAGACCGGTGGCGAGTAATGAATTGTGCCTCCAATGAGCGCATAAATATTGAATGGCCCACTGTAATTGGCACCACACTGAGGGCACCTTCCTTCACTCGCCGCCTGCCGCTCTGGCTCCTGGGTCGTTGTTCACCGTTTGCCAGCGTAATCGACACACAGGGAGAGGGAGAGCCAGCGTGTTAGCGGGGAGCGTGTAAAGTCGCTTCATGACCGGTTCGCCAAATGCTCATCACCTCCGATAAGAGCTTCTGAGAGATGCATTTCATTTGGCTGCTGATGCTGCTTCTCCTGCTAGGGCCATTTCATTTGTTTCATTGTGTGCTTTCCTTGCCTGCCTTCGGTGGCTCACTTTCCCCTTCATTTCATTACGTTCGTCACATTTACGCGCACAACTATTATCGCCATTATATTAATGCACGACCACCCGCACTGGGTGATGTTCTCCCACAAATACGCCTTTTTGCAGTGTTGTGTGTGTGTGCTAAAACAATTTAAAATTTTTTATAGCAGTAGTATTGTAAATAGATGAAATTAATAATTAAAAAAAGTAACGACATCACGAATATGAACGTCAACGACGTCGATTTGGTCAAAGAAAAGCGTAGAAAATTAAATATTTACTTGGCAAATACTAATAAATTTTAAACTTAACAACCATTCCTCTGAATGAAAAGCTGTATTTTTATATATTCGTTCCGTTTAGCCTGTCCTGTCGACAAAATTACTTTCTTTATTTCAGCAGTCGTCTTTTCTGCTTTGCCTTTACTGTTTGACGCTGTTCTGATGATGGTGCTTTGAAATGGCATTTCAGTAAGCATGTGGAATTAGTGGTAAAGTTCCAGTCGGCAAAACAAACTAATCTATGCTGAGGAAAGGGAAGAGAGGAAGAGAAGAATGGGGAGAGGACTGCCAACAAAGAATAATACGCGGGCGCACATTCTCGGCTGTAACAATTAGCCGAAAGACTTTTGGACTACCATTGGTCGACCGGCGAAATGTCAAATAACTCCTGACATGAGCAGGCACTACTACTGCAGACAGTACAGTAGTGCAGGAGGAAAGAAAGAAAGCGACTGAAAGAGACTGTGCCACGATTCAGTTGACTAGTGAGTCGCAAATTAAATTGACACAACACAGACTTTGCAGCAGCAGCAGCAAGGCAAACAAGTGCAGTGGCTGCAGCAGCAGCCAATTAGGCAGACACGTTCAGTCGACGGCAGGCGCCTTGAGTGGCCATTCTATTCAAATCAACCAGGGCCCTCTTTTGATCGGGTCACACAGACAAACACACAAATACACAATGACGGCAACTAACTAACAAGAACAGCCCTGGCGGCAGCGACAGTGGCAAAACTGCTGCTGCAGCTGCTGGTTGACAAATGAGAAGGAGAACAAAGCTGTCGTACAGAAGGAGAAAGGGTTACATTGAAACAAGTCACACTGGCTATTGTCCGAAGTTCATAAAAAGTTCAGTTTACCAACGATCCACATTGCTAGGGCAGTTTTGAGCAAGAGGAAGAAAAGAAAGATGAAGAAGAGAGCAAATGCCCGGGGGAGGACTGGCACTGCAGCGAGGGAAGAAGTGGACTGAGGCTGCAGATGATGGCGGTGGACTGTCTGGCGGCGTGGCGCACTGGCAAACACTCGTTGAAGGTGAAATCTCTCAACTGGGGACCACATGTTCACTGCACGGCGGGGAGCGCATTTCGGCAGAGCGGCTCACACCGAAGCTGACGGGGCGTGATTAGGCGTGTACTGCCAGCAGAGGAGGTGGTGGTTGTGGGCACTCATGTTAGCGAGTGATGCACATCATCATCATCATCACTGGCTGACCAGAAGTGCATCTTGGTCACAGACGCCCAGACAGAGCTGTGAAGCGACCGTGCTGCTAAACTATTGACGCACACTAATTTGCTGGCTGTTGAATTGATTTGCTCGGCGGTGGTGCGGCAGATGATGATTAGGCAGGGGTTCAACGCTGAGACACTGAGGCTGGCCACTGGCCACTGACAGGCAGTGTGCTGCATTCCAAGTGAAGATCACAAGTCAGTGTTGGTAGGGCATCAGAGAACGGTGCTGTCTCCAGTGACCGAGCGTCTGCTGGTGAATGGCGCGACTAGATGCGGCAGTTCAGTGCGCGACACGGTAGTGCTGGAGCAGCATCTCTAGCGCGCGCCAATATCTTCCGTCGTCGTCGGTCTGGTCGGTTTGTTCGGTGTGTGTCGCGGCGAGAAGCACTCCACAAAAGTGTTGTACACGAATTGAATTTTGATTCCACTTAGGCCACGAACTACTACTTGGCTGCCATCACAGACAGCACAGCCGGCCAATTGAAACAAAGGCGTTCTGTCTGCGCTTCTCTCTCTCTCTCCCTACGGTCCGTGTACGTCGGTGGTCTGTACTGCGCTATATATTTGGCCCTGTTTGCGTAGTGCTAGTAGCACATATCGCCAGCAGTCTCTTCTCCCCATGATGATATCCAGTGTGGCCAGTCAGCTCACTCTGCAGCACACTCATGCACACACCCGTCAGTGCCACTGTGGACATCATCGTCAGCATGTCTTCCGATGAGCATCTTAATTTCACTTTAATTTGCCTGCTAATTTATCTACTCGTGCCTGAGAGTTGTCCAGCAGAGAGAGGCACACAATTTTTTTTTCGGTTAGACACCGGACAGGAATGCAAAAAGGGAGAAAAGGAGAAAACATGAGAGCAATTCACTTCAGTTTTTCTCCTACTCTAAGAGACTAGTGTAATTAGTCTTGGGTAACATCTTGCACAAACATGGGCCACTCTGCAAAGCAGAGTGTGGACAGCAGACATTTAGGAGGACTAAAGTAGCTCCATTTCCACCACTAAACATGATTCACGTGTGCTTTAGTGAATTGCTTTGGTCAGGAATGCGTGAAATTAAATGCTGCCGTTTTGGGACATCTCTCTTCCTAGACAAGTAGAGTGCAGTCAAGAGCAAATTGGCTATTTATTTTCGCAAATATGGTCCTCCTCAGAAATCCGAAAATAGAAAGAAACTTTTAAATAATAAAAAACGAACGTTTAAAAAATTTAATAAAAATTGATTAAAGCAATAAGGAATTTCTAATTTCGAACAGGGCGCAAAGCCTAGTTGTGTATAAAAATAAACTACCGTCGACAGCAGTGCAGCAGTTTTTTAGAAGCATTTCGCCGAAGTTACTCACTACTCATCAAAGTCTTCAACTGAACCGTATCACTAAACAGTTAGCATGAACTTCAGCAAAGACAGCAACCCGATGAATGCGGCGCCAAAGGAATTGCCACAGGAGAAAGGAGGACACGGCGGTGCTGACACGAAGGAAACAGCAGCCCACGCGAGGACTGAGCAAGGAAAGGCGGCGGCAAGCAATGACAGTCAGTTCCTTCACGTACAGCAGGTGCTGCATGACCGTCGTGGGCACTCTCAGGAAGCGCCCATACTGATTCTGCAGGGCAACCAGATCATCAAAGTGGGCCCGTCGCTGGCCGACCCGACGCTGGTCCCGCAGCTGGTGCCCGCTAACAAGCTGGAGTTCTCCAACAAGACCGCCTCTGGTTCACTGACCAAGGAGGGCGAGTCGACGAAGAGAAGCCTGGCTAGAGCTCACGAGAAGTGCAACGGCGTCACCGATGCCCACTCGGTGATGGTCGTCAATGAGGGCGAGTCGCGACCTTCGCACAGCGGCACTATTCAAGGGAAGAGTGTTCCAGTGGTGAAATCAAAATCGAAAAGTGTTCGCAACTCTAAGCACCACTCGCCCTCCTCTTCAAGCCCGAACCGTTCGCCGAGTGGAGGTCACGAGAACAAAAAGCCGAAAAGTGCTTCCTCAAAGAGCTCCTCCTCGAAGGTGATCAGCAGCAGTCGAACCACGTCCTGCAGCAGTGACGGCAAGAGCAACACTAGAGAAGGCAATGTTGAGAAGACTAAATCAAAGTCGAAAAGTCCACGAAAGAAGAAAAAACCAACGTCGTCAAAGTTGGTCAAAAGCAGTGAGCAGATGAGCAAGTCAAAGAGTAAATCGGACAAGCACCGCCAGACATCGAGCACCAACTCGGAGATGAAAAAATCCGGTCAACTGAAGTTGGTGAAGATAAAGACAAAGTCTTCGAGCGGAAAGGCAAATGCGAACATGAAGAATCTGAAAAACGCTGAGTCGGCCAGTTCGAGTGCCAGTTCAACTGAGTCAAGTAACTTCAAGTCGCACAAGTTGCACAGCCACAAGAAGGGCAAGTAAAGAGAAAAAGAGAAAAAGAGGAAGGCGAGAGGATGAAGCAGCCGCCGCTCTCGGAGCCGATGGACGACCACATGATCTTCCTATTAATCGATTTATTCACTAGCCAGTGGCATTATTTACAAATAATAATACCGAAAATGTGATTGCATTAAAAAGGCAAAAACTGCATATATGCATTTGAAGAGGAAAAGTGATTTATCACTAGGCACTGAGTTGATTGGTGGCACAATTAGCTGCACACAAGTGAATGATTGAATTGCAATAAATTGAGGAAATCATTGCCGATCTGATGATGGCCGCACAAAGTGGGCAAGTGGATAATTCAATATGAAACATGATCGCATTAGAAGAGGACAGATGAAAGGAGGCCGTTTTCAGCAATATTGCTCTCATTACATTCAGCGGCATTAGGCTAAGTAGAAGACAAAGTAGCTTTGTGATAGCAGTTAGCTAGTTACACCAGGCCATTTTATGTGCAAAAACTCAATATTCGAGGCTCGCTCTGTGTGTGGCCATACTGAAATGGCCGTACAAATTGCAACTGGCCACAAAACACGTCTGTCGCGATTGAGCAGTCCTACCTGATTAGCAGAAACCATTTTCCCATTCTCTCTATATTTTGTACGACAACGAGGGAAACACGTAATGTGAAAAGTGTAAGCGAAAAAGTGTGAAGCGGTTACAAGCTACTGCACACAGTGAACACTACAATGAGCAGACAAGAGATAATCGAAAATTGAACAACAATCATATATGAAGGAGAGGAAAGTATAAAAATAAATTAAATGTGACCATCTTTTTAAAATGGTCAAAACTTTAATGAGAAACGAAGCACTTTCTAATGTTGCAATAGAGAATTGTTGTTGGTTGGTAATGACAATGGGGACGGGCTAATGTCTTTGAAAATGGGACAAGTAGCTTTTTTGCCAGGAAAAAAAAGAGGAGACAGAATGTCATCAGGTTTTTACTAACAAGTAAATAATATTTGTAAGTGGTATTTGCAGCTGAAAATCCGCTCAACGACCGCAATCGGTTAATGCAATTATGCAACTAGCAATGCTGCAGCGCTTGCAGATTCTGTCACAGCAGCAATTCTCAATGGTGTGCTACGTTTCTAATAACAATAAATGCCTGCTGATAGTGCCAATAATGCGCAATAATTCAGTTCACTCAACAGTTTATGACTTACCAAATCGTCGCCGCAGATTGCCGCCTTCTGTTTTCAGTTTTATCCCCGTGAAAGCTGCAAAGGAAAAAAGAACAAATAAATACTTGAGCGAAAGAAAGTGATCGAAAGACAATGCTGATTTTGGCGCGAATAAACGAAAACACAAAACAGCTGAAAAAGTTTTTTTCAGAAAAAGTTTGAAAATGTGACCCAAGGTGGCGCGTCAAGCGGATGAGAAGGAAATTTTTTATCTTCAAAAAGATAAAGTACTTTTACAGCTGAAATATTTTTGTCGATCGATTGTCGGTACGTTTGATGTAAAACTGAAATTCACTAAAAAACTGAACTCTTCCAATTACCCACAAACAGGATTATCGTTCTAGTTTGCCTACTACGAAAAGCTGATGGTCCGCTCCCGGTCGGAAGTTTACCTCTAGTGCAAAAGTGTTGCGCTCAAAAACGCGACCAAGATTGGACAATTTAAACTCAATACTGAAACTCAATATTAGTCGGCCACTTTTGACAATTGCTTTTTTATTGTTGCCACTTTGTCGAAACGCTTTTGTGAACTCAACTAATTTTGTGATGGATTGTTTTGAAAATGCGAAGATCACCAAAATCTGCTGCATTGGCGCAGGCTACGTGGGCGCTCTGACGAGCGTTGTTATTGCCAGCAAATGTCCTCACATTCGAGTTGCTGTCGTCGATATAAATGAAAGTCGAATTGCTTCCTGGAACAGCAATGAGCTGCCTTTATACGAGGTAATTTTAAAACTTGTTTGGTTTCACTTCTCTAAATTCGCTAATTCATTTTTCAGATGCAGTTGAAGGAAATTCTTGCTAAATGTCGCGACAAAAATCTGTTCTTTTCTACAAATGTCCAAGCTGAAATTGCCACTTCTGAGCTGATTTTTATTTCCTTAAACACACCAACTAAAACGGCAGGCCTCGGTGCAGGCTTAGCAGCTGACACTTCTGCCATTGAAGGAGCCACTCGAATGATTGCCCAATACTCAAGTTCAAGTAAAATAGTGGTGGAGAAGAGCACTGTACCGGTGAAAACAGCTGAAACTATTGTTGACATACTCAAAGCTAACAAACCCGAGGTACAGTTTGAAGTGCTCTCTAATCCAGAGTTCTTAGCTGAAGGGACTGCTATTGAAGATTTGCTGAACCCTGATCGTGTTCTAGTAGGCTCATTTAAAACGTCAAGTTCAAAGATAGCTGTTCAAAAGTTGGTTGAGCTGTACCAAAATTGGGTTCCTTCTGAGAAGATAATTCAGATGAATGTCTGGTCTTCGGAATTGGCAAAGCTTGCCGCAAATGCTTTTTTGGCACAGAGAATCAGCTCCATCAATTCACTGTCAGCCATCTGTGAGAAGACTGGTGCTGAAATTGGCCAAATTTCACATGCAATAGGCCTAGATTCGAGAATCGGTCCCCATTTTCTCAATGCGAGCCTGGGATTTGGCGGAAGTTGTTTTCAGAAAGACCTACTCAGTTTGGTATACTTAGCCAAAAGTTTGAATTTGCCTGAAGTAGCCAACTACTGGCACCAAGTTGTGCTCATGAACGAGTACCAAAAACGACGATTTTCTGAGCAAATTGTAAAACGACTCTATGGAGCCGTCCGCGGTAAGAAGTTGGCCATTTTTGGATTTGCCTTCAAAGCAAACACAACTGACACTAGAGAAAGTCCAGCTAAGGACGTGATCAAGAGTCTGCTCAAAGAAGGCGCTCAAATTGTGGTCTTTGATCCAAATGTGTCAAAAGATCAAATCTTTGAAGAACTCTCCTTCTCTAGCAGCTCTACAGTTGAATTGTCTGTCGCCGAGTGTCCATATTCTGCCGCCGCTGAGGCTCATGCAATTGTCATCGCAACTGAGTGGCCACAATTTCGTTTTCTCGACTACCAGAAGCTGTTCCAGTCAATGACCAAACCGGCGTTTGTCTTTGACGGCAGAAAAACTGTGGATGCTGAAAAACTGCAAGTGATCGGCTTCCATGTTGTTGTTATTGGAAAACGAGCAGCAGAAAATAGTGATTTTTTATAACTTTTTGCCTTGACGCTTTGAATCCACACCAGTAGGTGGCACATCTGTTTCTGGACACGGCGGGAAATTCAAGAAGCACTGTGTTGAATGAATTCGACTTTGGCATTCTCAAGAGAAAAATTTGAATGTATTGACTGTTTGCGCGAAGCAAATATTTGCACTTGAATTGTAAAAGAAGACAGCCGTATCTAAGTTTTAAATATTATTATTTTTTGAATTTGGTTATTTAAAGCCGCAAACTTCGCAGTCGAGAGTGTCTACTTTTGAATAGCGGCAAGTTTCACGTTTTTTTCTTAGAAACGGTGAAAGCAATGCAGTGAAGTGGTTGGGCAAACTTTGTGTGTCTGCACTCTGTGTGTGCATGAACTAGTGTTTGACTAGTGTTGCTGCGTTAAGCAGTAGTAAAAGAAGAAGGAGCACAACAGTGGTAGAACAACAAAAAGGAAAATGAAAGAAAGCAAATGGAAAGTAACTTTTTGAATGTAAACATTAAAATTTGCAAACTTAATTCAACAAATGTAGTAGTGCCTAATAGAGTTTGAATTGGAATTTGAAATGTCCACAGAGATAAGTGCATCAGTGGGAAATTTTAAAACGAAGAAAAAGATAAAGATATGCAGAAAACTTTGAGAGAACTGATACTTGGCAAATGTAAATCAGCAAAACCAAGGCAAGGAGGACTGTCACCGAAATGTATCATCGAATTTTAATTCATCCAAGCACGTAATGAATGCAATTCCATTGATACTCATTTGCTCAGTTCACATTTGCAGCAATTGGCAGATAGATCGACAGGCGCATAAATAAAGCAGTGGCAGGCCGAAGAAATTAGGCGCAATTTTGCAAGGCAACAAATAAATAATGCCAAGAAGAAAAGGCCCCTAAAGAATTGTTGCTGTTGCTGTTGTTGTTCTTGTAGTGCTTAATAGAATTAAAGACAAACTATCTAGTTTGCTAGTTTGTTAGTTAGGACTGGTTGCAGAGCAAGCAAATGAGCTTAACGGCAACTTCAGCGTCACTACTTTGTTGTGTGCTGCCAAAGTGAGCGGCTAGTATTAATCAGCGACGCTGTGTATCGAAAAAAACTACAGTCAGATAGATGGACAGATAGACAGTGCACTGGAACTGCCCACCTTGTGAGATGCAGTGTGCCACAGCGGACATTGGACTTGAGTCAATCTACTGAAACAAATGTGCGGCAATCAAGTGATCAAAAAACCAACTGAAGAAAGGAGAGGCAATTTAAGTGCCACTGCCAAACCGCCCAAAGTGCCGCTAATTCGGCTTTAGCTTAGGTGGTGCTTTCCACTCGCACACAAACATACACAGAGTAGAAAAGAAAGTGCATTTACCTAATGATTTACTGGCAAAACAAAGTGAAACGAGGGAAGCCATTTGGTGCACGGCAAGAAAAGGTGACGCCGCTCGGCAAGAAAGAAAGAAAGAAAGAAAGAAAGAACCAAGAGCACATGGCAATTGAATTGAGCTGAAATTCTCGCCGGAGCCACCGGTTCGTTGGCTGCTCAGTATTTGCCGGCAAATGCCGACAGTTGAATCGGTTAAGCCGGACGTGCAGGGTGGAAAAAGCTCGGTGTGGAGATCGCACAACACATCGATTACCACTCGATTTCACTTGCTCAGAAGCTGTGCCCATTAGCGAGGGCCACTGTGCTGTGCTGCGCACCCTGTTCTCTGGGTAAGTCAATTAAAGTGTGAAATGCAAACTAAATATGCCTCAAAGTGAGTAGTGAGTAGTGAACTGGCGCAATAAATATTAAGGCCGTCCATTTGTGTGATGCAGTGCCTACGCCGGGGCGGCTGAGTGCCAGTCGCCTTTATGGAGCCATCAAAAGGGCATCAAGGCTAAGATACATAATTCGCGCCTGAATTTAATCTGGCCAAATGGCGGTTCAAAACAGAAAATAACAATAATAATAATGGTAATGATAAATAAGGCGCTGCTAGTGTTGGCGCTGATGTTGTGGATGCCGTTGATGCTGTTGCTGCTGATGCTGATGCAGTGCCAAGGGCAGAGGCGGCAGCGGATTCAGCCGCGCAGCGACAGACAGGCTACCAGACTGACTGGCGACTCAGGGAGAGGGAGAGAAAGGCCGCATGCATGAATTGATGCAATTTAAATTTATATCAAGCAAAGTACAATTTGTGCCACTACTACTACTACTACTTTGCTAATGCCAACCAAATTTGGCGAATATTTCGCCTGCCATTTGCGCTCAAGTCACCGTCGAGCTTGGCCGTCTCTCTCGCCTGCTCGCTTGTCGTACTCGTCGTCGTCAAAGTGCGCACGCAAACCAAAGAAGCTGCTGCTGCTGCTGCCACAAAGAACTGAATTTGAACTGTAAAATTTCAAAGTGAAAAGCTGCCAGTATTTTTCCGCTGTGTATGTGTTTGTGTGTGTGTAAGCGGGAAAGTCTTGCGGCCAGACGTAAATGCCGAATGCATTCAGTGAGCATTAACATGCACGGGGCAGCGCAAATTTAATAGAGGAAAAGAAGAAGATGAAAGAAGAGAGGAGGGAGGGAGTGAGGCAATGGAGGAATCAAGGAAACCAGTCTTAGGAGGCATCAACAAGCAGAGCGGCACTTGCATCGCTTGCCACCCTCACCTCGACAGTGCCCGTGCTTACTGGCCCCTGTAATGGCACCTACTTCTGCCGCCCAAACCATCATTGTCTTTGCCAGTTCTGAGATTAAATATTTCATTTTGCTTAACTTGTTTCCAATGTGAATAGTTTTTATTAAAACTTGAACACACAAATTTGCATATTTTTAAATAAATTACACTTGTCTTTTCTGGGCAACGGAGAAGAGGGGCAAACAGTCAAAGTGCAATAGACATCATCCTCAGTTGGCAGCAATCTACCCAGTAGTGGCCATTACCAAAAGTTGGCTCATCTTCTTTTCCATTTTCTCCATTTTCTGCGACTACCAGATTTGCCTTTGTATATATTTCGGTGTCACTGGCCACTTTGCTTTGTAAAGACCAGTGGCCGCATTGTACTGCATTTCAGCCAGGCTTTCCATTGTACTCCGCTCGTCTAAGTGGAAGCGACTCTTTAATAGTGAAAGCTGACTAGCTTCTGCTGAAAGCTGTACAGTGCACACAAACACAGACACGCCGATCAGTTACACAATGACAGAGAAAACTAAAAAACAAAAAACTTAATTATTTTGCCAAATATCGCAGAAGGTTGTCTGCCAAAGATGAGCAGCGAGTGAAAGCGGACTGAAAGCGAGATAGAGCACATCAACGTCTGCACGGCCATTTATGAGCCTAATTGTAAGATTGTTGCCATTTGCATGCTTTTGCATCTGCTGCCGCTGAAGCTGTTGATGCTCTTTCTGCTGCTGCTGTTGTTGTTGCAGTGCTCTGCACTTTGAATGGAGAATGCACTTAGCGAGTACGCAACGAAAGGAGTCAGTAGTGTGCGATGAATGCAAGCAAATTGTTATTTACAAAATTGCAATTTACCAAATTACCCAAACGCAGAGCAAACAGAGCATAGAGGAGACAAGCAGCGAGGAAGAGAAAGGAAGAAGGAGGCGAGAGAAGAGTCGGTGTGACATGCGAACAAGTCCACTGAACAACAACAAGGCGAAACAACAAATCACGGATGGTTGTGTTCAGTGGACAGTAACACTGGGAGTAAGAGAGTGCCAGTCGGGCAGACAGACAGTCGGTGCAGTGTGTGTGTGTGTGTTTCAACTGTCGCCTACGATCGACCAGTTGTTACCGTGTCTCTCTATTTACTTGACAGCCTTTGGCAGGAGCCATTTCGGTTAGGTGGAAGGGCAATTATTCGCTGCACACTAGTTTAGATGCAATCAACCATTTGGAAAAAGCACACAGAGGGAAAAAGCAATACGGCTGGTGAAAATTCGGGTCACGAAGCATGCAACGAAGAGCACATTGAGGTAGAGGTCGAAGAAGGTGCATTGGCGCACTCCATCAAGGCGGCACAGTAGTAGTGTACAGCGGCACTACTATGCCGACTAATGCCGGGAAGCGGATGACAAATGGAAGAACGGCAAAGGAGGGAAAAAGAGGAAGGCGTCAATTGCACTGTCAATTGCCGATGGATATGCATCTTTCACTTGCATGGCCGTACGTATCGAAGGAAAAGGCGGCCAATGCACAGCGAACCAATGAAGCTAATTAAAGTAATCGCCGTCTGGGGAGCAATCGATAGCATGGGTAGCAAGCGGGAGATGTTTGCCAAGAAATGTCGGCATCGCTAGGTGGGGAAACCCATCGTCACTGACAAACCGACCGACCGACTGGTCGACCGCTCGCTGAGGCGCCAAATTGCCTGGGCAGTAGTAGTTGTGTTCACTCTCTTTCCTGTACAAATCAATACGTCAAAGCAATTTGACTCAGCACCGATGGGTGCGGATTTGGCACGAGCACTCACATATACGCACTCACTCACACACACTTTCTCACTCACACTACTTGAACTAACTTTTTTGCCGCCAAGGAACACGATCCTATCGGAAGGCATTACATTTTCCCCCAAGGTTTGCTGTCAGCAAATTCTGCCTGCCACTAAGTCGAAAATAAAGATCAAAGTGCAGGCGCAAAAACAAAATGGACGGTAAAAGGAGAAGGGACTGCCAGGCAGCGAGGGACTGTCTGCATCAAGTGCAAAAAAGTATAGCAAGTAATGGTAGTTTTACACCGAGGAATCTTTGCCGAATGACTATGCTTGCAGTTATTAATCAATAGTAGACATAGCATGCATTTATTATTGTTGCCTCGTGTAGCACCAGCAAATACTGCCGCCGGTTATGGGGCTTTTGCTGTTGTTGCTGCTGATTCGGTTTGAAGGCTTCTAATGCTGGTTGTGGAACAATCACAATCACACAGACAGACAGAGCCAGTGCAGTCATTTGCAAATTCATTGACAATTCATTCGCCAAAGCAAACTCGGGCAGAAAATCAAATATTTTTCAATTAATTTCGGCCCAGTCTAGCGAAAA